GCCGAGCTCGCCCTCGCCGCCTCCGACGACGGCGCCCCGGCCGCCGCCTCCCCGTCCTCGGGCCTCGCCGCCTGCCTCCGCGAGGTCCCCGCGCTCTTCTTCAAGGAGGACTTCGCGCTCGAGGAGGGGGCCACCTTCGAGGCCGCCTGCCCGCTCGCCGAGCCCGCCCTGCAGGAGCGCCTCGGCCAGCACCTGGACGTCGTCGAGGCGCACCTCGTCCAGGAGATCGCGCGCCGCTCCGAGTCCTTCTACGAGGCCCAGGGCCGGCTCCGCGGCCTCGACGGGGAGATCGTCGCCGCCGTCGGGAGGATCCGGGAGCTCAGGGAGGTGGTCCGGGTGCTCACGGGCGACCTCGTCGGGGACGCCCAGCAGGTGCAGGAGCTCAATGCCACTCGAGGGAACCTCGTCGCGCTGCAGGAGAAGCTCACCATCATCCTCTATGTCAGTCAGGCGCTCGCAGCCCTCAAGCTGGTGAGTGGTCTCATCGAGCATTGCGTTTTGTTTGCTTGTGGATCAGCAATGTTGCTCCCAGAAATGGTCTGGACATGTACTGCACATTGTTTTTTGATGTGGTGTGTTGCCATTTCTCTCATAGTTTCGTGAGTTGGTTGGTTGTCAGGTACGTTAGGTGCGAAGTATGCAAAACCACAAAACCATGCGCACTCAGACATTGCTCTGGGGCTTAGTGAACTGATTGATTAGCTGACAACCATTGCTGTGCATCGAACACCATGAATTGCTACGCTATATGCATGACTGTGTTTTTCATGCAATGACCTTGCATATTTTTCATATGCTACCGGTACCTTGGAAGTCAAAGTGTTAAGTGCCAACTGTAGGTCGACATGGAGACATGCTGTCCATTCTCGAGTCGTTACACCAGAAAATGGATGATTGGGAAATGGAACCTAACGATGTCTTTGGATCCATCTTCTTGCCTTATTGGGGGCAATGGTCTTTATTTGATTGCAGAGAAATTATGACCGGTCTTTCTTTGAGAGGATATGAGTTTGTGTAAATGCCCCATAAGCACATACTACTGTTCTAATTTCTAAATAGTGGCTGCGTATGACATTCCTTGTCCAACTGCAAACACAACCACATTTTTCATTTTTTGTTGCTAGTCCATAATTATCATTATTCTCTGCCAGATCACTGCTGTGCTTTTATGTGTCTGATTTGACAGCCTGACCTGAACTGTTCATACTTAAGCAACAAACTGGATTTTTGTTTTGCTTCTGTACTAATATTTGAATCATAGTAACCTATTGCTTAAAGGTCCCTCCTGCCTTCAAATCTCCGCTGTGCGCTGGGTTTATAAGCTTGTTCTACATGTGCAGCTTGTGCTAGCGGCAGATTGTGCTGGTGCGCTTGATGTCATTGATGACTTGCAAAATCTCATAGTAAGTTACCTAAACATTACCTTCTACATGATCTGATGCCAGTGTTATCGTAACTTTCCTACGTAATGCCATTACTCTTTGCCATCACACACCACCTAGCAAATTTCCAATAAATGACTGCAATCAGCCGACATGTGCAGTATGTGTAACTTATGTTTATGATACATAAATTCTTTCAACCAGGACACTGATGAACTTGCTGGGCTTTATTGCTTTCGACATATTCGTGATCAGTTGGGAACATCATTAGATTCAGTGAACAGGTATTTTTGTACAAACTAAACATACATCCTATCAATATGATGTGCTCTTATTTATAGGGGCAATACTTATCACAGGAATGACAGCTCTGATGTGAAAAATAAATACCTTTACATGCTTAGAAATGCATTATGAATTCTGACGGAAAGCTTGAGACATAATCTCTATCAGTGTAGGTAGGCTGATTTATGAGATCAGGAACCATGTAGTGTTTTAACTTCAATTGCAATTTCATCTGAGTATCTGAAACAAAAGTGATACTGCAGTCATTTGTTGGTATCTTGTCGTAGCAGTATGATCTATCAGAATACACATCAATGCTACAAATATGCCAAAGTCACCCCTAGGTGGTCTGTCTAGGTGCAGCAAGGCAAAAGTACCCGAGGCTACACAGGGCTCTGCGCCTTTGTGATGCAAGGTGCATGCCTGGTCAAACTGCGTGTTAACAAGATTAAGAGAGGGTATTGAATCCTAATGTAAAGGCCCTAAAGTCAAAATAAAGCCAATGTAATGCCCCAGTTTTCATCATTGCCATCTAACTTCCCGTTGATTTACCGATGTAGCACCTCAAGTGTGCCTTGTGCCTAATACTGCCTTCATAGCCATCCATATGATTGGCAATTGAATAGTTCTGGGCCATCGTTTTTCTTTGTCACATGTTTACTACATGAGCCAAAGCATTTTGTTGGCTTCTCAATATACTCATACATATGGATCCCAATAAGATACTTTAAGGGCGTGTTCGGAAGTCCTCCACGCTCCGCGTTCCACGAACTCTGTGCGAGAAATTAGGCTGAACGGTCTAAGCTTCCTGAGGTCAGCTTTCAGAAGCTGTACCGAGCCATAGTGCAATTTGAACGAGTCAAAGAAGCTGGGTTTTCGCAGCTTCGCGGAATCCTCAGAAACGCGTAGTTCGCCTAATTACGTGTGATGCCACCGCCAAGTGATTTCCCGTACCGGTTCGTGCCCCCGATTCTTTTGTCGCGTGCAGTCCTCTCGATCGTTGGATTTGGCAACGTGAAGACACCGTGACGCTCACAGCGTTCCTCCAAACTGGGCCAAGCCCAGTCTCTCTCCTCCTCTCGCCGAGAAGGCCTAAGGCCTCTTTTCCTTTTTCAGTTAGATGGGCTTTAGACAATCCAAGCAGGCTGCCAGCCCGCCTAGCGTGGAGAGGAGCTGGCGCACGTACAGAACGGTGCTGTCTTCTCGCTAGAGTTGGAGCCCAGAGCACAGCTGAGAAGCTGTGGAGTTGAGCAACGCGGAGGACTTCAGAACACGCCCTAAGTGAATACATTTGTTGATTCTTAATTTTTGTGCAAGCCAATGTCAAATGCAATGATTCTGTTCCAATGATACTCAAATGTCAACTAGGCTTTAGTCAGCATAATGTTTCAGTTGTTTTGGGCGATATTAAGGCCTAAATCAGTACATCCATTAAGTGGCATTTTAGTGAAAAATGTACCCTAGATCCACCTATATCCTTTAAATTTAGCTTCTATATTGTTTCATTGCTAATTGTATGTTATCGCCATCTAGAATATAAAGGTCAATTTTGTCATTAATCGGAAGCTACCTTAAAATCGTGTAATTTTATTTTCTTTATATTTGCCCCCTAGAATAGTAATGTTGTTTGCAGCCTTTTCTGTCCCATCAGCAACTTGCTGTTTAACTTATTATTCATTCTTGTAGCATTCTTTCAGCAGAGTTTGTACGGGCTGCTGTTCCTGATGGAAAAACTGTTGATGCGATGGTTTTATCAACTGTGAAAAGGAAGACTTCTACTCCCCTCAATGGGACTGAGCATGAAGTATGTGCGCTTTCTGTTTTGCAATTCTCCATCTCATAATTGGCCTGTCTTTACCTGATTTTAACGCAATGTGTTCATGCTGAGTTTTTTGTGTACCTTCCATGCCAACTTTAAATAATATTAATTAGTTAACTGAAACTGAATGAACATGACTAATGAAGTGTGACTGAGAGATCTAGAGAGGCTAAGAACTGGTAGGGAGTGAATACCTATCATTCACGCTTAGTTAGTGGTACCTGCAGCGCCTGTTTCCACTTGCAACCATTGGCTCTGTAAATGAATCAATGCCAAGAAGGCAAGGACATTGCTATTTTTGATTTCTTTGTAGCCTCATCACACTATTACATTATTATTTCTGTCATTGTATCGTTGTTTTGGGAAACTTTTGTATTGTGGAGTTGCATCCATGATCCATATAGCGTACCCAAGCAATGTAGTTTCTTTTTTTCAAGAAAATGCAGAGGACGGAAAAGAAAGAGTTTGGTTACAATCCTCCTAAGAGGCCAAGTTCAAAACAGCAATATAGTTTCTTGATGACTAAAGTAATTTTACCAAAATTTCTGTTTGATGTATGTCGAGTGTCAACATAGGATCCTCACGTCACAAAACGATTTGGCCAGGCGACCGATCGAAGGGCAGTAGATGATTGCCGCTGGAGTCTGCCTCATTCTACTTTTGGTTTTCTTGCTGCATTAGAGTTGGCTTTTAGACTATGCGTGATGATCCTTTTGGACTACTGCTGTTTGGTTTGTAATAGGACTAGTTGTTGCTGCCAGTTTTTCGCCCCATGGCATCCGTTTCGACAGCGGGCGGATGCAGTGTGCTTCCTGGCAGTGCTTGAACTCGCTGTACCTCTTTCCGCTCTCCCTGACAATGTTTCTGGAACTGTTGTATTTCCGTTCATTTGCAATGGAAAGGGGTTTAGCCCGGTTAAAAAAAAGGATCCTCACGTCACAAAACGCGATCCTGAAATAATTACAGTTTTCAGATCATAAACTATGTTACCACACTGTTACCATATATACCACGACTGTGGTCCAATCAGTTCTTGCTCTTCTCCAATTTGCCGAAAGGTGAAATACTAATTTGTTTTTTTCAACAATTGTTTGATGTGACTCCTTTGGTTTAGATTATGGTTTCATTTTTAAGCTACACTGTTGTTGTTCTAGTAAAATGTTTTCAGCTCTGTTCCTTCTATTGACCGACATTCATCATCTCAATGCAGGTAAACATTGATGAGGAGGATGGCTTCATCCTCAGAGATCGTCTTCTCCCCCTCATTATTTGCCTGCTGAGAACGGTTAGTTCTGTCAGATATTTCCATTAAGTTGATATATTCAAATGGAGGGTGGATGTGCAGAAAAATAGGGTGTCCTGTGGCTGCTTTTCTATTCAATATTATAGAGCTAGCGATTGGGGCTTTAGTGTAAGACGACATATAGATTTAGTTCCAGAGAAGCACTTATTCACATTTGTATGCGCTATTTAGCCACACAATGAGCACAATAATATTTGTGATTATTCAATAAGTTTCTCACTCATATAAGCTGGGTTTATGGGGCCTTATAAGAGACCACCCTCACTAACAGGGTACTTGTAAATAAAATGCCCTCTAAAATTCCATGCATACAGAAAACCAAGTTCAGTATTTTTTTTTGAAAGGTCAATCACCTATGAGCTTAAAAAGCTAAGTGGTGGAAGGATCATGCTTATTTATTTCTGGATATTTGGTATATTCAGTGAGTCATTAGTCTGTGGGATACAGAATAATAAGGTTCACATTTATATCTCGCAGGACAAAGTTCCTGCAGTGCTCAGAATGTACCGGGATACCCTTATTACTGTTATGAAAGCTTCAATCAAATCCACAGTTGCAGAGATGCTTCCAGTCTTGATTTCCAAACCAATAGATTCTGATTCAGTAACTGGAGACAGAGCTGCTGATTCTGATGGTCTACTTTTTTTTCTTAATTCAATATCTGTCTTCATAGCTTGCTACTATGCACGCTAACTTCCTACTTGTTTTGAACTGCAATTGTGCAGCTGGAGGCCAGTCTTTAGCAAATAAACTGCGTAGTCTATCATCTGAAGGTTTTGTTCAGCTTTTATCGGCTATTTTTAGTATAGTTCAGGTAAATTAGTTTCTCAATACAGTATCATTTTGTTTTCCTTTAAATGAAGATGGTCTACCAAATTAAATCTTAATGTGTACCTCCTTTCCAGGTACATCTCCAGCAAGCAGCTGAAGTTAAAAAAATAGTTCAGTGGATCATGCGAAACCTTGATGGGAACATAAGTCCTGATGACACAAATCCTGTTGTACAACACGGTGGCTCAGTTGATCTTTCCCAAGAGAAAGACTATGATGTTACTTCACGGGTCTCTAATACTGTTACACGCACTCCTACTAAGCTTCCGTTGTTTCAAGGAAAGACAAATGATATGTCCAGTATAAATTCAATAAAAAATATTCGGTAAGTTAAGTTATAACTTGCTCTTTGTTCTGTAAAAACCAATTTAATTGCTGGTATCATGGTGATACTGTGGTCAGTTTTGGCAAATATAGTATTTCATTACTTGCAAACCTTTATATGTGATGACGCAAACACAGATTTGCTTGAGCACTTGCATTTTCTGCAGAGCTGACGTGTTGAGAGAAAGCACAGAAGCAGTGTTTGCTGCATGTGATGCTGCACATGGACGATGGGCTAAGCTGCTAGGTGTTCGTGCTGCTCTACATCCCAAGTTAAGGCTTCAGGAGTTCCTGATCATCTATAATATAACAGAAGAATTTATAGCTGCTACAGAAAAGGTTATTATTTTTTCTGTTTAAATTATATGCACATATATCCATGTTAATTGCGTAAAAGCAAGTTATGATATTATTTTCACCTCTTGTCCTCATAGGTTGGAGGCAGGTTAGGTTACAACATTCGCGGAATTCTACAGCAACAGTCAAAGCAATTTGTTGAGTATCAGCATAGTGTTCGGGTGAGTTATGTATTACTTTGCTGAAGTTTACGAAAGCGAGATTTACAGTTTTACAATCAGATAATGGAACACAGTCAGAAGCTTGCTTTAAATTTTGTTAGTACGAGCAACAGCTTATAGGATAATTACAACACCATTGTGCCTGAAACATGAATTGGTAATGGTGCTATTTCTGAAGTATAAATCCTTCAGCCTTCTCGCTCAGTTATAGCCTATGGATGTACAATAGCTTGTATACAATGCGGTTCCTTTCTAGTTCTGTTTTGCAAACAATATTACCCATAGTATTGGCATTCACCATCATCAAATAACTTCAGGTTGAAATGATAGTGGAACCGAGGACACAAAGGCCTAAGCTGCTCGTCAAAATTATTTGAATTATCTTAAAAAATTATAACACTACGGTTTATTAAAAAAATTGATATAGATTTTGGATTGATACCAATCTTATTTTATAGTTGATGCATGATTTATAGTTTTTTGTGCTCTGAACGTTTAATATTCGTTTGAAGATGGCAAAAATTAAGGCAGTTCTTGACCAAGAGACGTGGATCGCTGTTGATGTTCCTGAAGAGTTCCAAGCGATTGTTCTGTCACTGTCATCAACTGACTTTCCTGTTAATGGCATGGAGATGCCTAGCAATGATAACAACTCAAAGCTCAGTGAGGATGGGGTTTCAACAAGTCAAGAATCAGCACATTCAACTGAAAATAATGTTGAAAATAGCAATGGAACATCTACGACAAGCAATGAAAACAAGGTTGAATCCACTTCTCAGACTGAAAATAGTGTTGCTGGCCATGTTAGGCCAGTCTCGCAAACCATTGTGCTTGGAGGTGTTGGCTATCATATGGTGAACTGGTTAGTCATCTAAAATTTTCATTTAATTCTTCAAAACAAGTTACTGGTTCTTCTTTCTAAAACTTGCCATGTTGAGGATAAATTAGATCAGTTGCCACACTTTACTAACCCAGAAGTGTGGCAAAGAATTCATCCAGTAACAGTTCCTGTATTCATCTGCTATTCTTCTATAGTGATATATGCTGTCTTTTTTCTGTTTCTCTCGTCATCTTATGTACTCATTTAATCATCTGTGTTTCTGTGAGATGTACCCTTGCCTTTTCTCAATAATGCTTCAATTTTTGTTTGGCAGCGGTTTGATATTGTTGAAAATGCTATCAGAATATGTTGACATCAGTAAATGTTTGCCATCGTTATCTTTTGAGGTGGTCCAACGTGTTGTTGAGATATTAAAGCATTTCAATACCAGGACTTGCCAACTGGTTCTTGGCGCAGGTGCCATGCAGGTATCATTGTTTACCATTGGTAACAATAATTCCTCATTGTTTAAATATGTAAACACAGCTCGTAATTTGCTATTAGCATTTTCTCATAATTTACCATTTAATGCGGATTGTTTTAATAAATCTTTGAATAAATATATGTCTCTCTGCTGAGAACCACCTCTTGGTGTGGTGGTGGAGCTGTGGGGGCATGACTCCACCCACCAGGGTTATAATTCTGGTGCTCACATGTATGCTGTATCTGTATGGGTCTCCTGTACACTCTTTCTATTAAAAAAGTAGATGTCTGCTAAATGAACTTGCTATCAATTTATCATTGTTCATCATCGTATAGGACACTATTTGCACAATAGTGTTTTAGCTATATGGAAACACAACAATTTTTAAGAAAAGACGAAAATCTTCTCTGTTTTTTTTGAACAATAGTACTTCAATGCACCAGTAGTTTCCTCAAATCTTAATCAAGCTAAATAGCTATTTAATGTAGGCATGTGCTGCCACACTTCTTTTTTTATATATCAAGAAGTCTGGACTGCTTGGTTTATTTTCCTTTGGTTCCTTTTCAGGTATCTGGTCTGAAATCAATTACTTCTAAGCATTTAGCTTTAGCAAGTCAAATTATCAGTTTCATACATTCTTTGATTCCAGGTAAGCATTTTCCCCTACCTTCTGTCTTTTTGCTGCACTGTTATTTATTGTATCCATACTTTCTGTTAATTTTGCCAAAACATAGAGTTCTGAAGGCTGACTATCCTGTCACTTCAAGTGATTGTGGGTTGCATTATCTTATCTTATTATATGTTTTTAGTTGATTATTTTTGTGTCTTGATTTGTTGGTGGGATGAAGGTTTGGAAAACTGGAAACCAGGGTCCTTAAAAGATATCTACAGAAATATAAGCTGAAGCGCTTTTGTCTCTCCCTAGAACTGTTGGTATTTGAGTAGCTATATGATGTAGAAGGGTAGGGAACAACACAAACTTGAAAAAGTAGAAGCAATAGCTAGTTTCCAGCTTAGGGACCAGTACCAGGTGTGCTGTTCCCTTTTGTTTATCTAGAGCCTGATTCATGTACTCTAGTAACTTTCATGTTATGGTGATAGCTGGATAGGCAATAGATTTATTTCACTACAAGTAAACTGCCTTACAGCCAACCAGAACTAACATTGCATTTAATTAATAAATTCACCAAATATGCAACATATATCCCAAGAGCCATCCTGTTCTTGCTGCACCCAATATTTACTTAGGGAAAAGAAAATGCAAATGGCCATGTTGAATCAATTTTTTCAGGATGAACTATTTGGGAATCCTTGAAGTATCTGTGATTTTGATCACTGCTTGGCCAAACCATTTTTTTTTTGAAATTGCAGATATTCGTCGAGTACTTTTCCTGAAAATACCGGAAGCACGCAAACATCTGTTGATGTCTGAACTGGATAGAGTTACTCAGGTATGATTTCTATTTTATTTATTTGACATTTCATGGGTTAGGGTAACTCTTGACTGGCACCAACCTGTTTTATGTACTTGCATGAATTTCATTTCTTACAAGTTTCTCGGAAATGACAGGACTATAAGGTTCATCGAGATGAAATTCACACCAAGCTAGTCCAGATAATGAGAGAGAGATTGCTAGCAAATCTTAGAAAATTACCGCAAATCGTGGAAAGTTGGAATGGACTAGATGATAATGATTCGCAGCCAAGTCTATTCGCCAAAGCTGTTACAAAGGTAGTTATGGCTTAGCACATTACTCCTTCCGTTTCTTTTTACTCTGCATATAAGATTTGTCTGAAGTCAAACTCTGTTTGACCAAATTTATATTTTAAAATATCAACATCTACAATATTAGAGTTATATAATACGAACATGAATTCCATGATGTATCTAACAATATTGATTTGGTATTGTGAATGTCGATATATTTTCCTATAAACATGCTCAAACTTTATGAAGTTTAACTTAAGAGAAATCATGTATGTGAAGTAAAAGGAAATGGAGGGAGTATCAATGGAAATCACTCTGTTACTATCTCTGTTCCTAAATGTTAAGACATTTGAACTGCAAAAACGTCTTACATTTAGGAACAGAGGGTGTATCATTTTATTACGATTTGTAGCTACACTCATTGTTATTGTTCAATGGAAATGCAAATTCATCTATTGCTACTTGGAAACAACATCTTAACTCATTTATTGACCCCCATTTACTGTCCTTTATTCTCCTGGAATCTTGTTCAGGTGTTTTCACTTATTTATGTTATTTGAATTCTGACTCAGGCTTTCCTTTCAGTTTAGTTAATTGTTGCTGAAGTTTTTGTACATAAACATTTTGCAGGAAGTCACTTACTTGCATCGCATCCTTTCTCAAATACTGCTTGAGGTAGATCTGCAAGCGATATTCAGGTAAAGAAGTATCCTGTGTATCTTTAGAATCTTTGGACCATATCTTTTTTTTTTCTAGAATGGTGAGGTTATCAGCTTCGGCTCTTATTCAGTGTATGTAGCTGGTTAGCTTATTCATGATATGTAGAAAACCCTCAGTGGAACACCAAACCTACATCACTTTAAAACAATTGGAGCACTGAAGTTTTGAAAACAATCTGTAAGGTGTTACTGTTCTCTAAGATGAAGCTCGGTTCATTGGGGTAGCAACCATACGATGGCCATTCAGCATAGCTGAAGGCTAGAGATCGTAGGGGATGTTGCTTAACTGAGCATGATGATAGCACCTCCTTATTTATAAGGAGTTCCTAACATATTAGGCCTAGAGATAAACCAATTAAAGCCATCTAAACATAAGTCAAACTATTTGTCTCTAACTAAATAATTTTAATGATTTACCCCCTGGGTAATGCAACTTTGGCAAACCGAGTTAAAAACAGCATCTGGTGGTAGTGACGCTGCTCAAGCTGAAGTAACCACGTGAACAATACTCTAATGGGCTTCATGTAATGCAAGTAGCACCATTATTTCTAATTTTGTTTTTTATGTTCAATATTGATTTTGCTGGAAATATTATCCATAGCATGACAATTCGTTATTATTTGTTTCCTTGCAAGATCTTATTGACTCTTAATTTCGTTTGACCCTTCTATGCAATGCAGGCAAGTAGTCCAGATATTCCATTCCCATATTACAGAAGCATTTTCAAAGTTGGAAGTCAGTAGTCCTCAGGCAAAGAATAGGTACAGTACCAATAAATCTTACTGCCATTTTCCCCCACATCCCCACATGCAAAAAAAAAGAAGAATCGATTAATTGTCCGTATGTGTTGTATGTATTCTATACATATACTTTTTAACACTGCTGTTTTAATGATTGATTGAACCCAGATTATGTCGAGATGTTCAACATATTCTTGTATGTATTCGAAAGTTGCCTGCTCAGAACTTCAGCTCAGAACCTGTTCGAAATTATGGTATTCTTGACGAGTTCTTGGCTGAGAAGTTCGGGACAAAAGTTGACGAGTGATTGACATGTACATTAGGGACTGACTCCTGTCTGCAAATGTTCAGTGGTGGTACATATGGTAAATGTGAAGTTATGAAAGACACCACTGTTGGCATAAAATCCTATGCAGGTATAATTTGGATTCATACCTTTGTGACTTGTTTGCTTTCTCACGTCATAGACAACTAGATATCTTCCAATGAAAAGTCAATCCTGGTTTGTCTCTCACGTCTTTCCGGAGCAACTTATGTAGATTGGTCTTCCCTAAGAGATATTTGAGTTGTACGCAAGTTTGATCCTTTATCTTATATTACCTCCGTCCCAAAATTCTTGTCTTAGATTTGTCTACATACGGATGTATCTAACACGTGTATTTGACAACTACATGTCCTGACAACTAATTTGCAATGCTGCAACGATGCAGGTATTGCTGCGGAGGGTATCGGAAACGGAGCGCTCTTGATGGCAATGAATTACCATGTCAATACATCCAATAGCGCTTTGTGGGATTACATGCCAATGGTTTTCCACATCTGACCTTCTCCGAAATTTTTGCACCGTACTTCCGCCATGTTAGGCCGCGTTTCATCTTTTGCTTGTTATGATAGTATTTCAACCCTTTTTGTGGGAAAAGCTGATATTGGTTAGATGTTGGGTATAGAAGAGCCATAGAGGGAACCTAACAACGACATTTTCGGCAGCACGGTCCATTCTTTGCATATTGCCCTGCCGTTTGGTGCAGTGTGTTATTAATTGGATATTTTGTCGTTGATGCAGCCGAGTGTATCTTGTTCCTGTAAGGTTTGTATAACTATTCTTGTCAGTGCAATAATAAGTAATTGTGAAATGTTTAGTACATGCAGATATTCATACTATACATGGTTATTTCACAGGAATTTGGGGGCTTAGTCGTGCCCATTTTTTATTTATTATTGGTTGTACATGTTGTAGAACTCGTGAGTTAATTTTTTTTTCTGAAAGCCTGAAAGATTATTAAACATGGCGATCTTTTTATCTGGGTGGAAATTTGAAATTTGTGGTAAAAATATTTGGCAGAATAAATTAACGGGTTTGAAATTTATGAAAGCAATAGAATTCGTGAGCAAAAACCATGGTCTGTGCTAATCGGTTTTGTTTTAATATTAAAATATTTTATCAGAAGTTTACCGAGGTTTGTATTAAGTTGGGATGTGTTTGCCGTGTTTCAAAAGGAATCGGACAATTCTTCCCTTTCGGAGTGAATAATTTACGTGATCCAAACTGTACAAAATTGAAATGTCTTGTTTTTAATGATTATCACAACAAAGATTTATTTTGTGGGTGATTTATCACAACAAAGTTGAATAGAAGTCCTGTTCAAGCAAATAATAATGAGAGAAACAAAGTCCGAACACTATCCAATGTGTCTACTCTATTTGGATCATTTTCCTACTCAACAGAAAAAAAAAACCAGTGCATTTTGTTGGGACGCGTATTAAGTTGGGGCCTGATTCAAAGGAATCGGGTAATTCCTCACTTTGGATGATTATTATCACAACAAATTTATGCGATCCAAGGTGTGCCAAATCTAACTGTCTTTTCTTTTTGATGATTTTATCACAACAAATTTGAACATGAATACAAATCCAGTTTCAAACAGTAACAATAAGGAAAACAATGTCCAAACACTATCCCAAGTGTACTCACGGCTCCAATCCATTTGGGCCATTTCCCTTCGGCTCAGCAAATAAAATAACCAGCGCATATTTTTCAGAATCATCAGAACAAAAACAGCAGAAAAAATGCTTCTCCTCGTCCCATCCACCCTCCCACGGGCACCCTACGGAGCAGCCGCGTCCACATCGTCGCCGACGCCCTTATCCATTCACCCGCGGCCAAGGCGGCATCCTCTCGCCGTCGCGCGCTGCTCCGCTCGTCTGACTCCGCCGCCCACCGCCGCTGCTTCTTGGGCCGGCAAGCTAGCCGGCGCCGTGCCATGGAAGGCCGCCGTCTCCGGCGCGCTCGCGCTCACCTTGTCCTTCTCCTGCTGTAAGCCATCAGCCTCATTCTTCATCTTCCATCCATCGAAGCAGTTGCCAGGAGCTGCTCGCTGTTAACTGGAGGTCTAGAACAGTTCCACGTTTAGGTTTTCTGATGCCCTTATCTAATAACGAAATGATGCGCGACTCGTTGGTGAATCAACAAATCTGTCATCTGAATTGTTTTGGTGTGCTGCATGGTAACGCTATGCGAATCAATGCACCATCAACGCGAGACCGAAGCTCGAGTCTGAACCCGAAAGGCGAAGCTCAGTTCAGTTCATTCAGAGTGTGCAGCGTGTTTGGACGCTCTTTATCCATCGTCCATGTTACCAGAAAGAGCGATTCTCACCTCCGGTGCCTGCTGTACAGAAATTATCCATTTTCTATTTCAGCAATTGTCCCCCCTGTGTTGTAGCAGTAGTGCCAGCGGCAGAGGCGGAGGCGGCTGAGTAGCATCCACACGGAACTGAAAATCTTTTGCATCCTCGATCGTGGTTGCGCAACGGAGAAAAAAAATCTATTCTCTTGGTGAAGTGGTGAAAATTGTGGGCTGTGGCATAAATAGAAGATGTGTTGTTGTTTTGGAGTGGCATTTTGCAAGTTTTTTTTCCCCATTACCATATTTTCGATGGCACACTTGAATGAAAAAGGATCATATGTGTGCTTTCTTAGTGGAAACTTCCCCTTGATGCTACGTGCTTGCAGTTGTTGGTTTGGCCAATGCCAAGGCTGGGGTCAACAAACCTGAGTTGCTCCCCAAGGAGTTCACCACCGTCATTGACGTCGCTGGTTTCCTCTCTTCAGGCCAGGTAAATTCAGACCTCAAATCTTGTGCTACGAGCCGTCTGATGATTCACAACTACTGGCAAATTCCCTTGTGCCTAATTTTCTTTAACATGTCGTATTGACTTCCATAAGGGTGCAATACAAATAGTTCTTATCTTAGGGTGGTCTTAGTCTCTCCACCTTTTACTTTTGGTGTTGATAATTGGAGTACATATGTTTTTTCTTTTGACAGAAAGACTGTAAGGGAACCCCCTACAGTATAATTGGTGCAACGAACCCAAATTGCAAGTACCATGCCTTGAACCTGAGTGGGTGGGAAGGCATCAGCCCCTTCCCACCACTAGGCTATGCCTTAGTCTGCTTGGAGTACATATGTTAGATAGCTGCTGACTATTTTGATTTGTTTTTAGGAAAATCGTTTGCGCCAAGAGATTGAAGACCTAGAGAAGGACACTGGGTATAAGTTGAGAGTTCTCGCACAAAATTATCCGGATACACCAGGTGATTTTTGCTTTTTCTTTTTCACATTTGTATGAGTCGCATTGTGTTTTATTTTATTATTTTTCTTCAGTTCATGTGCAATACATGCAAGGATGGTATGTCTGGTCAAATATTGCTGACGATGAATATCGCTATAGCTAGTAAAAACTTCCTGACTGGCCACATAAAAAAGATACATATTATCTTGTTGAAATTATTTCCAGTACGCAATTGTTTTCAGTTTTGTCACATACTGTCAGAAATTTAATTGTTAAAATCATTATAGAAATCGCACACTTATTAGATATATTGCTGATCCTAAGATAGCACCTTTTGACCATGTGGAATACAAGTCTGGCCCACGAGGGCAGCTGCGTATGTATTCAATTGGATCGGGAATGCTGAGTCCTGAGTTTGCTGGACTAATGCAGATTAATTTGTGAATCTATGCTGATTCTTTTTACTCGACAATCTGTATATATTTTTTGATTAATGCACATAAACCTCGTGTAATATGGAGTGGGATTATTCTCTCCTTATGTGGCAGTTATTTACTCTCAAAACCAATGTAGAGCATGTACTTGCGATTATCATTGGCCAACATGCAGGGGCGGAGCTTTGTTGGGGCCAAACTGGGCCATGGCCCGCCCAGGTTTTTTACACTTTTGATTTTACCAATGCATCGAAGGAAAGCCCACCTGCAGCCTAGTAAGGATACGATCGATCCAAAGCACTCGAGGTCTCTCGCTCGCAAGTCCCAGCTTTCTCGCACGCAGCCGCTCCTGCTGTTTCTCACGGCCGCATCAGGCAGGAGACAGAGACATCGGCCAATCAAGCAACCACTCCATCTAATTTCCCTGTAATTACGATTCAGCAAGAGATCACAGCTAATCTAATTTGTTTTTTGCATTCATTAGATATCCTGATTTTCCACTCAGTTGTTCTTTGCATTTTACATATCACAGCATATGTTGGGTAGCCATAAGCAATGGTAAACAAGCTCACTCACACGGTCACACCTAGAGAAGAATTGATTTGGTTTTCAAAAGAAAAAAAAAGATCATTTCGAAATTCAATTGATATATACATATATTCTCACTCCACCTGTATTAGAGACTAAATGCATATATATGACCCAGAATTTCAAAAAAAATCGGTGCTCTCCCTTTGTCTGGCCCGCCCAACATTTTCTTTGAAGCTCCGCCACTGCCAACATGACATGTATAAGCTATTATCATATAATCATTCATTAATCTATTATTCATATAATCTTTTATTCTTCTCTGTTATAGTTAACAGGAGGCATTAATTCGTGTTCTCATGACTGTGCACATGTATCGTAGCACATACAAATTGATTAATGCTGTCTTACAGGATTGGCTATCAAGGATTTTTGGCAAGTTGATGACCGAACTATTGTCTTTGTTGCAGATCCCACCTTCGGTATGATACTAAAGATAATATTCACACTACACTTGGTTTTTCCTTTGCCATGGCTATTTTGTTATCTGAATAACGAAACTGATAGCCCATATTGATTGCAAATTTTAGTATATTACTCTAATAAAGTTCAGATATGGATCATTTGTAAAGTGCAATTCCTGAATTAAGAAAAATGAACACTGCTGGGGAGAAGTATGATGCAGGAATGATCATGACAACCATATGGTTCACTTATCCATGCAGCTGATGTGTCATTTAAGCCTAAGGGCATACTCAATGATGTTAATTCCT